CGTTTGGCCGCCATGTGTCGGATAGTGTCCCCCCACCAAGCTCTGTGCCTTTACCGGCCATGTTCTGGATAGCGTCTCCTCATTGTGCTCTATGGCTTCACCCATCAGATGCCACTGTAGTGACACAGCAGCCAGAACAGTATCCGACATGAGTAAAATACATGTATGCAACATGGAACTACAATCCTCACCAACCCCCCCTCCTGTACAATCACACCCCCTATGATCATACCTCTGGTACCGCAGTGATGGAATACTCCAATTAGCACCCAGGAAATTAGCCATTTACAGGCTGCTTGTCCTTCCCCTCCTCCCCCAGACACAGGACTGGTCATTAAAGGAGGAAGGCAGATTCCGGGACAAGTCACCAGCCGGCCGCAGCGTGGATGGGGTTAACCCCGTGTCTTCCGAGTAGAAGACTGATTAGTAATTGGATTACTTGTCACCGCGCTCTCCTCCTCCACCCCTCCCTATGTAATCCCCAAATCCTCGCAGTGGTCAGGAGATGGATGAATGGATTAGAGGTACCAGGCCTTCCTTCCTAAGGAACAATGGGCCATTCTCAGTGGTCACAAGAGGGTCAGTATGGAGCTTCTGTACCAACTGAATCTGTCACATGGTTGGGGGGGGGGAAATCACAGTATTGTACAGCAAACTGAAACAATGTAGACATTACTTTTCCTGCTGACATTAGCCGAGTAACTAGCAGTGGAAAACATTGGTCTTGTTACCCATTAACATCAGAAAAATGAAAAAAAAAAGGTTGATGAAACAAAACAGAATCATAAATGACCATTTACAATATTGCATAAACATGTGCAATACTCAGGGACAATGTAGACATTACTTCACTTTTCCTGCTGACATCACTGAGTCACTAGCAGTGGAAAACACATTGGTTTTCTTATTTAAATAAAAATGTTTAAAAAAAAAAATCACAGAACAATGATATTGTTGAGTAAATGGACGCAGTACCACGATGCACAGCATGCGTCTGCGTGGCATGGTGTCATTTCATCTGAATGGCACCCCAATGCACATGCGTTTCAGGGGCATGCATTGTAGTGGAGCGCCAGAAATAGTACATGCACCTTTTTCGGCTGCCTTAACACAACGCATATTATCGCGCAGCATAAAGGGCGCTGCAATGGTGTAAATGGGCCCCGGATTATAGGTGGGGGTACCTAAGCACGGGTCAGCAACCGAATATCAATCTGAACGGCTCAATACATGTGAGAGCTGCAGAGTTTCCCTTCACTGCTGCAATCAGAACCACCATGGCTTGCTGTGCCCCGTCCACCCCTGAATGCGGGAAGCGCAGCTGGGACACACAATGCAAACCCCACTGGCCCCAGATGCACTTCTGCAAGTCCTTCCCTGCTGGCTGCATGAACATTTACACCCCGGTGCCCCCCTCCTGCTGGTTACATGACCAGTCACACCCCGGTGCCCCCCTCCTGCTGGTCACATGACCAGTTACACCCCGGTGCCCCCCTCCTGCTGGTCACATGACCAGTCACACCCCGGTGCCCCCCTTCTGCTGGTCACATGACCAGTTACAACCCGATGCCCCCCTCCTGCTTGTCACATGACCAGTCACACCCCGGTGCCCCCCTCCTGCTGGTCACATGACCAGTCACACCCCGCTGCCCCCTTTGTTGGGAGAGAATGGGTGTAATTTAACATACTGTGAACAGAGGAGCCAACAAGGTGGCGAGTTTGCAGACAAGTCCCAGCATGCCCTGTGACCCCTTAGTGTGAGTCGCGTATTGTCTGGTCATGTAACATACAGAGAAAGCCGCCAACATCTGCAGCATCAGCGCGGTGCCGTTTTGTGGCGCGCAGAGCGACGACTCCGGTAACTACGAACAGCGATCGGCTAATTCGGTGCAGAAAGAGACCGGCGCCAATAAAAATACGTAGACGCCAACTGCTGACCCGAGCGAACCTTCTGGACTCGCTGACCGAACTCGGAACACGGCCCAGTCAGAATAACTTTACAATATCTGATCTATGTACCAGTTCTAGGCCGCTGGAAGCCAGAGGATCAGCATGATAGACAAGCATGCGTGTACAGGGGTCAGCCGTGTCAGGGTCCAGATCTCCCTCAGCGACGGTTTCCTGAAAAACCTTAAAATGAGAAAACGTAGGAAGGAAACGGGACGCACGCTGTGTATGCGGAGCGCTGAGACTGAGCGGACAACGGCTAAACATGGCGTCCGGGGGTGCCATCAGCTCTGCCTCTGTACGGTGCCAGGAACTGAACACCGGTCCGGATTTAAAAAAAGAAGCAGCCCGGTGGGAATGGAATCCTGACCGAAACCACGGGGGGAATCAGCGCGCCCCTAAAGGCGCAGCCATCTGAGCAGGTGAGATCTGGGTCAGCGATTTAATCTCTGCGGCTACGACAGGGACGCGTCTGATGCCTTGACAACCCGCGAGACACCATCCAGCCTCTGACCCCCGCTGACTGTCCAGGTGTTAAGGAACGACAAGCCCCGGCACGTCCTCCTGTTCTGCCACAAGTGGAGAGCCGCCGCGCGTCAACGACGGCCCGTAAATGTCTCCCAATGCACTCCGTCCCACAGCCGGCGCCGCGATTGCTTTCTGTATCCACCAAACGGAGAAATAAAACACGTAAGCGATACTTAGAAATAGAACGCCCATTAAAGTGAAGGTGATGTGCCCCCCGGGGAGCGCCAAGCACTTCGCTGTGAACGTTTCATTACATCCGCCTCATTCAAATCATGTAATTGTACAGCGCTGCGCACACTGCTGGCGCTATATAAATCCTGTATAATCATCATGAGATACAAATATACTCTTCTGCTGTTACTAAACCGAGACAAGTGGCGGCAACACAGGAGGTGCTGAGCAGAACTCTTATAAATGGTCACCGCTCCGAATGGGCCGATTTTAAGGATGAGGTTTATGAGCCTTGGAATAAAGATGGCGCTGATATTAATGGACCAGGTTTCATGTTTTATTCCCAAAGCAAATTCCTGTTTGGGATTGATAAAATGTTCCATTGGGCGCCGACACTGAACACGGATCAGAAGAGTACCGGTTTAAAATGATCCATATAAGCTACAATCCTAATACTACTCGTACTCTGCTAACAGGACCACGGCTGCGGAGATCCAAACGGAACCACCGCTGCGGAGATCCAAACGGAACCAGCGCTGCGGAGATCCAAACGGAACCACCGCTGCGGAGATCCAAACGGAACCACCGCTGCGGAGATCCAAACGGAACCACCGCTGCGGAGATCCAAACGGAACCACCGCTGCGGAGATCCAAACGGAACCACCGCTGCGGAGATCCAAACGGAACCACCGCTGCGGAGATCCAAACGGAACCACCGCTGCGGAGATCCAAACGGAACCACCGCTGCGGAGATCCAAACGGAACC